CGGCCGCCGCCGCCCAGGACGCGACCAGCCCGGACCTCGCGCCCACGCCCGAGCCGCCGGAGGAGTACGCGTACCCGGACTACCGCGGCAAGGGCTGCGTGGACGAGAGCGGCTTCGTGTACGCGATCGGGGAGAAGTTCGCGCCGGGCCCCTCGGCCTGCCCCTGCCTGTGCACCGAGGAGGGGCCGCTGTGCGCGCAGCCCGAGTGCCCGCGGCTGCACCCGCGCTGCATCCACGTCGACACGAGCCAGTGCTGCCCGCAGTGCAAGGAGAGGAAGAACTACTGCGAGTTCCGGGGCAAGACCTACCAGACTTTGGAGGAGTTCGTGGTAAGAGGCGACTTTGCACGTTCCAGGAAGGGGTGGAACAGCTGTGTATGGTTCTGTAGTCCCCCACTTTGAAGAAGAGGCGCTCTTTGGTTCTCAGAGGTGGAGAGCGCTGTGCTCACGCCCCTTTTACGGGACCTCTCTCTTTTTAGTGCAGAGGTAATCCTTCAAAGAGCAATGTGGCCGTTCCATATCGATTCCTTTGGTTTTTGCTATAAAAGGGTTTCATTAGAATGAGGCCCGTGGCACAGAAGGGAACGACCCCAACAGTTATCTGCTGCACTTTCAACATTAATTTATTGCTTCTAATTTAGAAGTGTTGCAGGTGAAATGCTCAACCTGTTTTCAAACACTGGGCAATTTTCCATGCCATTTGGGATATATTCTTCAACTAATAGCCAATTAAGGGAGGCTATTCATAGAAATAAGCCATTTCCCTAGATTGTGTGTTCAGGGTATCATGCAAATGTTCTAAAAATTAAAAGAAAAAGAAAATGTTTGCTCATTGGTTGCCAAAAACATAGTGGATAGCAAAACCAAGAAGTCCAGTTTATGGACAGGAATTGTTTCATTTTCTATGAATAGTAGTTATGTTAACAGCACATCTGCTTAATGCCTACTGTGTGCCAGGTTCCAGGGTGTGTTATTCCCGTTTGAACCTCATACCATGCCAGAAGATAGATTATTATCTATCATCTCCATTTTCTGGAAAAGAGGAAACTGAGACAGAATATTTAAATAACGTGTAGAAACAAGGCAGCTATTAAGAAGCTAACTCATGTGTCAGACCAAGCAGTTCTTTTACTCCATAGCTCATGCATTTTTGCTCCACTTGAACCCAAAGCCCAGCCCTATTGGGGCTCTGGTTTAGGTGGAGGTGCTGCCCAGCATGCATGCTCTGGTCCCCAGTAAAATCCCTGCCTCTCCTCTCCGGTAGGGGCCTGAGAGAACTGCACAGCTGTTCAGCGATTCCAAACTCCACAAGGTATGGCCTGCTTGGACTTGGCCTGTTGACTTGACATGCCAGAGATGTCCTTTTCCAGCCTGCAGAGGGCATCCTGGGACCTGCAGACCCCAAAGCAGAGCTTGGAAGGCAGGTAGGGAGGAACTTTGGAACCCCCCGGCTCAGTGTGTGAAGGGCAGGTAGTTAGTGAGTTGTAATAATGAATTACTGAGTGTTGTAGAAATATAAAGCCAGAAAGGACAGATCTATAGGTGACGTACAAAGTGTGGAAAGAGCGCTGCAATTTAAAGTCGGGAAATATAGGTTTCCATTCTGGTTTGGCCACCAACCAGCTGCATGGCTGGAGCACAGCCTGTGCCCCTCTGGGTTTCTTTTCTCCCATCGTAAGCTACTCCTAAGGCTCACGTGGCAAGGGGAGAGCTCAGGCATGCATTGTTTAATTACTCACAGCCTTGACTTCAGGCCTTTGGAGAAAGACACCTTTGATGAGACCTCATATGAACTAGGCCCGAAATGCTTTCTGTCTACTGGGGAGTCTAGCAGATACCTCTCCAGATGTTTGGGTGCAATATACAAGTATTGGCCATGCAAAGGTACTGAAGGGTGCTAGAGAAGCCAAGAGGAGGGGTTTTCCATTTTGGCCTGGGACAGAGTCATAGGTGGGAAGTGGGGGTGTTTGGGGGAGGGTGGGCAACAAAAGAGTTCTGCTAAGTGTTTTGAGTTTATAAAATAATCAAACTCTTATAAGGTCAAACATGAGCAGTTCATTTTTAATTAAAATACATCTGTTGTTCTGCACTGTTTATAGTTCTGTAGTAACTTCTTAGAACTGTCCCGTGAGATAGGCTGAAGAATTATTATCCCTCTAATCTAAAGAGCTCAAACTTCACAGAGCAGCTGTTTATCTACCTGAGACCACAGATAGAGGGAAGAATTCAAACTTTTTTGTTAGTAAATCATTGCTAAGTACTAGAAGCAATGATTTACTAAATCATGATTTACCTTTGCCTGTAGGGGAGGGGATCTCTTATTTGATTCCTACTTGCAAAAATTGGTGGTCAATAGGTAGAAAGTGTTTTCCAACTCTGGGGATGGGAAAAGAAACCAAAAAATAAGAGGGATTGGAAAGATTGAAATCTTGGGAAGAATTAAAATACCTTTAAAGCTATTTTTTAGAATATTAAGTGCATCTTCCATCTTCAAATGACATTTCACTCTCAACTTTCATGCAGCCATTACCAGATTCTAGGATGGGCACATACTTGAATCTTGCAAAGTTGTTACAAATTTTTAATTATATGCCTGCTCCTATAATATGTCAACTGCATAAAGATTTTATTGTATTATATCATGTTTGCTCATTTCTGTTAGTATCAGAAAAATTTCTACACATTTTCCTAATTTAGCATGGCCTTGTGCGAGTCATATAGTGTATCTATTTTTGTTTCCTTTAATATACAAAAGAGGACCCAGTGCTTTGTTGGGGGCTGTTGAAAGGATGAATGTAAAGGGTCTAGGGTCACTGTGAATCCATGGGGTTTGTGGGTTGCAGTAATGGAGATTTGTTGTGGTGCTGAGCACCAGGGCACAGCAATTGTTAACATGCCCTCTCTGGCTATTATGAGTTTCACAGAGAGAGAAGTTGTAGTTTGCATAGCACAAAGTATATGGAAAATGAAAAAGGAAAGCATTTTCTGTCTGAAGTGCTTTGCACCTCTCTGAAGAAAATGCAATTCAAGTGGCGATTGTGGTACAACAGAGTTGTGCTTGGAACACTTTACCTTAGCAAGGAAGGAGGGAACAGAGAGGGAGATTTTGCCTAGACCTCTTTTCCTGGGAGGTCCGAGGCCCTTCCACAGTTTGTTCTCTGCTTCCTAAAAGAGGACATGACTGGGGGAGGCTGGACCCTCCCTGTGGGTGTCTGAAGTGAGCAGCAGAGAAAACCCCAGAGCCTGCCTGTACCTGTGATGTACAGAGCATTTGGCGAGGGAGTAGCTTCGCCCAGTCTTGCTGTATTTCCCTTTCCTTGGGCACGTGTTTTCTTCCCGCCTTCTCTGCTCAGCTTTTCTGCATACTCTAAACCATTCTTTCCCCTTCTCTCCATACTCTTTTACGCCATCAAAATGCCCATTCCTTGCAGCTTGCTGATCTCAGCAGGATGTTGGTAGAAGACCTCACTGATTCAAGAAAATACCATTAGGCTGCAATAGTAATGAGAGTAGTATCCTCATTTCTCCAGGGATGGTTGTAATTTAATTTGTACATTCAAATAAAAACATAGTTCATAGTAGCATTTTCTCCATTGCCTCTCAAATTATAGCAAGTGTCTTGTTCTTCAACTTATACCAGCAGGCAT